CGCCTCCTGGAGAACGGTCCACTTGGGGACCGCAAACCCACACAGTTCCTCCGCCACCTACGAGTTCTCGCCGGGACGGAGTTCCCAGAAGAGGTCCTACAGACGCTGTGGATGAGACGCTTGCCCACACACATGCAAGCGCTGCTGGCCGCGCACAAGGACCTCACGCTGGATAAGAGAGCCGAGATCGCGGACTCCGTTGCGGAAGCTTATGGTAACCTGGGTAAAATAGCCGAGACAACCATATCACCCGCAACCCCGTCATCGACCCAGGAGCAATCGAGGATAGACGGAGTGGAACGCACCTTGGCGGCCGTCTTGCAAAAGTTTGCTGCAATTGAGATCTCCCAAATATCGCAGCCCCAGAACCGTTCGCCTTCAGACTCGCGGCCAGAGACATCGTCGCGTTCGCGTTCGCGATCGGGATCCCGTCATCGAACGAAAGGCGACAGCGGTATTTGCTATTACCACTGGCGTTTCGGCGACACGTCAAGAAGATGCGACAAGCCGTGTAGGTACAGTTCCCTGTCGGCGGGAAACGCCGAGGGCAGTCGTTAAAGACGGCCATTGACGCCTGCCCCACCACCCCTACAACAACATCGAGCCGTTTATTCGTCACCGAGAGGACAACAGGTAAAAAATTCCTCATCGACACCGGCGCCGATCTGTGTGTGTTCCCGCATGCCCTGCTACCAAAACCGCGTACGAAGTCCGCATATGAACTTTCCGCGGCAAACGGCACCGTCATCGCAACGTACGGAACAATCACGTTGTCGTTGAATTTAGGCTTACGACGCGATTTTACGTGGAGATTTGTTGTCGCGGACGTGGTGAAACCCATTATCGGAGCCGACTTCCTGGCTCACTACGGACTCCTGGTGGACATAAGAAACCAGCGACTACACGATCAAATTACCCAACTCACTTCCATCGGAGAGGTGACTGAGTGTGAGATCCCGTCCGTAAAAACCATCGCCGGAAGTTCACCGTTCCACGAACTCCTCCAACGGTTTCCCGATGTCACACGTCCAGACGGAACCCCTAAGGCGGTGAAACATTCCACCCGCCACCACATCGTAACCACGCCGGGCCCTCCCATTGCGCAACGTCCCCGAAGACTCGCGCCCGACCGACTCCAGGCAGCAAGAAAAGAATTCGACGCCATGGTCCAGCTAGGAATCGCCCGCCCTTCCCAAAGTTCATGGTCTTCACCGCTTCACATGGTGCCCAAAAAGGGCGACGAATGGAGGCCATGCGGAGATTATCGTGCCCTCAACGCGAGAACCTGCCCCGACAGGTACCCGGTGAGGCACATCCAAGATTTTGCGCAATCCTTACACGGCAAAATCATATTTTCAACGATCGATCTGGTACGCGCATTCAACCAGATCCCGGTCGCAGAAGAAGACGTTCCGAAGACTGCCATTACCACCCCATTCGGCTTGTTTGAATTTCAATTCATGACGTTCGGCTTACGTAACGCAGCGCAGACGTTCCAGCGATTCATGGACGAGGTGTTGCAGGGTCTCGATTTTTGCTATGCATACATCGACGACATCCTCGTCGCATCCGCATCACCAGAAGAACACCTCCAGCACTTGGAAACTGTGTTTCAGCGTTTGAGAGAGTACGGCGTCGTTATCAATCCCATGAAATGCGTCTTCGGCCAGCCAGAGGTCAAATTTTTAGGATATCTCGTTTCCGGCGCAGGTACACGTCCACTTCCAGAAAAGGTCGAAGCAATCCGCAGCTTCCCGCAGCCAAATACAATAAAAAAGTTGCGTCAGTTCTTGGGTATGTTGAATTTTTTCAGAAGATTCCTACCTAAGGCGGCAGAGACGCAAGCACCTTTGAACGACCTCCTCCAGGGCAACGTCAAAGGAAAAACTCCGGTCAACTGGACACCAGCAACGGTGGCCGCATTCGAGGCGTGCAAGGAGAGCCTCGCCGGAGCCACATTATTGGCACATCCCGAGCCAAACGCACCATTAGCTATTTTTTCGGACGCGTCAGATTTCGCCGTCGGAGCAGTCCTCCAGCAGAAGGTCGACGGTCACTGGCAACCGTTGGACTTCTTTTCCAAAAAACTGAGTCCCACCGAGTCAAACTACGGGGCTTATGATCGAGAACTACTAGCCATTTATCTCGCAGTCAAACATTTTAGGCATATGGTAGAGGCGCGGTCTTTCACCATCTACACAGACCACAAGCCAATCACGTATGCCTTTCAGAAGAAGAATACCGAGTCCTCGCCCCGCCAAATACGACACCTGGACTTCATCAGTCAATTCACGACTGACATTCGCCACATAGCAGGGAACGAAAATGTTGTCGCAGATACTCTTTCTCGCATCGAGGCTGTGGAAACCTCGATTGATTTCCAAGCTCTGGCAGCAGCACAACAGCAGGATGAGGAACTCGAGAGATTTCGAACAGGTAATACAGGCCTGCAGCTCAAACTGGTACGAATCCCAGGCTGCGACGTATCGGTACTCTGCGACGTCTCCACGCGAACAGCGCGTCCTTACGTCACCGAGTCATTTCGCCGAGCTGCATTCGAGTCGATTCATCGTCTATCCCATCCAGGCGTTAAAGCCACCGTAAAACTGGTGACGCAACGTTACGTCTGGCCATCGGTCAAATCAGATTGTCGAGAATGGGCCCGCAACTGCGTAGAGTGTCAGCGTTCGAAAATCTCACGCCATGTCTCTTCGCCCATCGGTACATTCTCGCCACCATCAGCGAGGTTTGAGCACGTGCACTTGGACATAGTAATTATGCCACACTCAGAGGGTTATCGTTACTGCCTTACCATGGTAGATCGGTACACCCGCTGGCCAGAAGCCGTACCCATTAGCGACCAGGAAGCAGCAACCGTGGCACGAGCTTTTTACGACACATGGATCGCACGATTCGGCACCCCGCTACGAGTAACCACCGACCAAGGTAGACAATTCGAGTCGTACCTATTTAAACAACTAAATTGTTTATTAGGAACCACTCATTTGAGAACTACAGCCTACCACCCCTCAGCCAACGGAATGGTTGAACGCCTACACAGACAGTTAAAAGCGGCAATCATGTGCCACCAGAATAATCGCTGGACTGAAGCCCTATCCACCGTCATGCTCGGCATTCGAGCAGCATGGAAAGAAGACTTCCAGGGTTCCTCCGCGGAGCTCGTATATGGCCAACCTCTCCGCCTGCCCGGTGAATTCCTAGGCATCCCACGCGACGAAAACAGCGCAGACAACAGCACCGCAAACTTCGTCAAAGAGTTACGTCAACACGTGCGTAACTTGAAGCCATGTGAGGGAACACGGCATGGAACAAAGAAGACCTTCATTTTCAAAGATCTCGCCACGTCAGAACAAGTTTTTGTACGCCACGACGGTCCCAAGCAGCCGCTTCAACAGCCATACGACGGTCCGTTCAGAGTCGTCAGGCGATCTGCGAAAACGTTCGTCGTCAACATCAAGGGTCGAGATGTCACCGTTTCAATAGATCGGCTCAAACCCGCGTACATACTCAGTGACGACACGCCCACGTCAGAGTTTGGCCGCGACACTACGAGGACGACGCCCACAACAGACGAACCAGCGCCCTTCGCAGATCAACCCCACGACGACGACGAGATGCCAGCTTCCACAACGACGAGGACCACGAGGTCAGGAAGACGGGTGCGCTTCCCTGAGCGCCTGCAAAGCGGTTTTTCATAAAAAAAAAAACACTAGCAGGGGGGTACTGTAGGAACAACCGTTCCCACAAAATCAGGTGTTCTACCTGAGCGCATTCAAATAATTGTAAAAATGTAAATACTTCCTATCCTTCGTCTACCTGCCCTACGCTCCTACATACTTTCTCTTTTCCCTTCTAGAATTTTCTAAACTCCGTTTTTACCTACTTCCACCTCTTCGAAACCGAGCTTACCTGTGTACCATTTTAAACACCCTTCCTTCTCCCTGGCACCCTCGAACAGTAAACAACGAAATAAAATCTAAAAACCGTACCGTCGCTTTTAAATCACCAACGATACCCACAGAATTATGTATTGGAACTTATGGGATTTTTTCTAAATCTCACTTTCAAACCCAATTTTTCTGAAATTTTGGTCCGGGACTATAAAACTATATTTATGAACCAGAATACATTTCAGAATTTTTTAGGATCTTTGGACAACTTTTTCAAAAGCTCAGTTTTTCATTACTTTTGACATTTTCGACCAATTTCGAAATAGTTTAAAGGCACTTTCTTGTAAATTTTGACATCCAAAAATCATTTTTTCGCTACGTTTCTGCCGAAATTCCTACTTTTTAACTTTTTTGAGAATTTTTGGATAACTTTTCCAAAAGCTCAGTTTGTCAATTCTCCGAAATTCGAGGATTTCTTGACCACCCTCGAAAATTTTCCAAGGATTTTTAGGCAAGAAGCCCAGTTTTTAAAAAACTAAAACAAATTCAGTTTCATAGCAAAATAAACATCAGAATTTTAAACAATCCCGCAGTTAGCCACGACCTTGCCCTTCCTCTCCCCGTTGCACCAAATGCAATCACCGCTCCCACGCCGCCCACCTCCACCATAACCAAATAACCCTCTTACATCACCCACTTTGAGTATTTTCCGCCTCCGTCGTCCCTTTGTCGCGATTTCCTCCCCCATCCAGATCCGCCGCGATAAACCGACCCATACCCATCCATTACCGTCATCGCGAATAAAAGCCGAAAAAAATTCGTCCGTCCCGTCCATCCGAAAGTCGGATTGGCAACGATGCGACGTAAAAATAAATAAGGTGACGTAGGAGCGATCTGATGCGATCCGATGTGCCCACATGATGCCGCCTCGCCCATCCGTCACTCCCGGTGACCCTAAAACCTCCCAAGCAGAAATCCTCTGATCCGACTGACATGACAATATCCGACACGGACTACAATGTGCACATGCCTGCGAATGGGACGCGATCGATTAGCGATTATGTAATCGATTTAATCGATTTTTTGCAGGGACGTCAACGGGTCGCCGAAGAGGAGGCAGTACAAGACCGTGCACCAGGAGACACACTCGGAGACTGTGAAAAGTGAGTGTTTTTATTATGTATTGTATTTATTATATAAAGGCAGAAGTTCAGAATTACTAAAAAATTTTAAAACAATTAGGGAAAGTGTTGGGCTAGAATAAAGGCAAGTTCCTGCAAAGAACGTCAAGATCTTCAGCCCAATTTAGGACAAATTACGATGATCTTTTGAAAAACCACTTATATCATGATTAAAAAAAAACTCAGAAGTGATGAAAAGTTTAAAATAAATAAATACAATTTTCAGAAAAAATAATGACGAAATTACAACATAATGTCAAAATTTAAAATTTTAAAAAATAAAGCGAAGATTTTGAACAATAATAAATCAAAACGCAAACTTTTGATTGGATTTTAAAACCTTGGAAGTCTAAACTTTCAGGAGCTAAGACCTGAAAACTTTTAAGCTCTTGAGAAGAACTCAAAATTTTTTTTAAATAATTAAAATTTTGAAAAAGGCGTATAATATTTTGAAAAATGTATCATTAAGAAAAGACAAATAAAACAAACCTTAACTTAAAAAAAAATTTGAACAAAAAAATTTAAACCTGCTAAAAGCCAAAAATTTAAAAAAATGAATAAATAAAATAAAATTTGGAAATGAAATTTCGAGAGAAAGCATTACAATCTTAAAAAACAAAGTGAAAATTTTGAGCAATAAATCAAAACGAAAACTTTTGATTGTATCTTAAAACTTTGAAGTCCAAATTTAAAGGAAGTTAATGTTAAGATCTTAAAACTTGATGTTTTTGACAAAAATATGGAAAAGTACTTAAAAGGACGTTAAAATTTTGGAAAATAAATTCAAATTTTGAAAAAGCGTATAATATGAAAAATTAATTGTTAAAAAACAAATTTTGGAAAAAAAAATTCAAGGACAGGCTCTAAATGATGAAAAGTTCAAAATTAATAATAAAAAAGAGTTCATTAGAAGCAAGAAACACAATTACGAGATTTTGAAGAAAAAAATGTTAAAATGTTAACTTGTTAGTAGCCAAAAATTTCAAAAAATAAATAAAACTGAATTTTGACGTGAAATTTCAGGAGCTAAGATCTAAAACTTGATGTCTTGGATAAAAATATCGAAAGGCTTCTTAAAAGGAACTCAATTTTTTTTTAATTCAAATTTTGAAAAAGGTATAATCCTTTGAAAAAGTCATCATTAAGAAAGGACAAATTAAAAAAAAAAACTTTTGCGGAGACTTGAAGTGATGAAAAGTTCAAAATTAATAAAAAAAATGATCGGAAAAAATTTGAAATATGAAAATAATGCCGGCGTTTTGAAAAAAAAAGCGAAAAACTGCAAAAAATTAATAAACAAAATGAAATTTGGAACCGAAATTTCGAGGAAAGGTATTAAAATACTGAAAAGAGGTGAAAATATTGAATCCGAAGACTCTTGAAAAGAAGTCAACATTTTTGACAAATAAATTGAATTTAAAAAAAAACTATAATCTTACAAAAAATTGATCATTAACAAGTTAAAAAATATCTTCAGAAAAAAACTTCAACTCGAAAAATAATTACCAGATTAAAAAAAAAGTCAAAATTTTAACTTGTTGAAAGTCAAAAATTTAAAAAGTAAATAAATTAGAAAAAAAATAAAGTGAATATGTTCAGCAATAAATCCAAACGAAAATTTTTATTGAATCTTAGAACCTAAACTTAATGGAAGTTAAGGTCTTAAAATTTGATGTCTTGGATAAAAATGTCAATAGGCTTTTGAAAATAAGCCAAATTTTGAGAAATAATTAAAATTTTGAAAAAGGGCTTTGTTTAATCTCATGAAAAATTGATCATTAAAAAACAAGTTTAAAAAAAATTGAACTCTTAAGGTCAGGCTTGAAGTGATGAAAAGTGTTCAATTAATTTTAAAAATTCTCAGAAAAAATTTGACACGAAAAATTACGAGGTTTGGAAAAAAATCTGCTTAAACTCAAATATTCCAAAAATAAATGAATAAAATAAAATTCTAGTCAGATTTTGAAAAAAAAAAAAATGCGAGAAATGTTGAGGAAAAAATTAAAACGAAAACTTTCCAGCTAAAGTTAAAGAAAGTCTTAATGCGAAAACTTGATAACTTGGACGATAATATTGAAAGGTTCTTAAGAGGAAATCAAAATTTTGAGAAATAATTCACTTTTTGAAAAAAAGCCGAAGTATAATAATGTTATGATAAATTGATCATCAAAAAAACAAATTTTGGAAATAAATTTTAACTTTTGAAGACAGACTTAAAGCGATGATTAATGAAAGAATCTTTGGAAAAAATTTGAAACAGAAAATAATGGCGAGATTTTGAAAAAAGTCAAAATTTTAGCTTGTTATAGACAAATATTTGAAAAAATAAATATAAAAAATTTTGAAGTGAAATTTCGAAGTCAAAATTTTGAGAAATGATTCAAATATTGAAATAAGCGTATGATCTTAAAAAAAAAATTAGAAAAAATTCTTAACTTTCAAAAAATCTGTCAAAATTTTAACTTGTTAAAAGCCAAAAATTAAAAAAAAGTAAGTGAATTTTCGAGAAAAAATATTAAAGTCCTAAAAACTTAGTGAAGAAGTTGAGCAATAAATCAAAAAAGAAACTTTTGATTGGATCTTAAAACCTTGGAAGTCTAATCTTACAGGAAGTGAAAGCCTTAAAATTTGATGTCTGGGACAAAAATATCCAAGGGCCCTTGAAAGGAATCAAAATTTTGAAAAATAATTCAAATTTTGAAAAAAGCGTATGTTCAAAATTAATAAAAGGTGTTCATAAAAAATATGAAACACGAAACATAATGACGAGACTTTGAAAAAAAGTTACAATTGTGAAAGTGAAAAATTTCAAAAAATGAATAAATAAGTAATATTTTAAAATGAAATTTCGAGGAAACTAGTAAAATCCTAAAAAATAAAGTGAAGATGTTAAGGAATAAATCAAAAGGAAAACTTTTGACTGGATGTTAAAACCTTGAAGTCTAAACTTAAAGGAAATTAAGATCTTAAAACTTGATGCCTCGGAAACAAATATAGAAATACTTTCCAAAATAAGTCAAAATTTTAAGAAATACGTTGATCTTTTGAAAAAAAGAAATATACTCTTACAAAAAATCGATCATTAAGAAAAACAAGTTTAAAAAAATCTTCAGAAAAAATTTGTAACTCGAAAAATTATGACGAGATTTTGAAAAAAGTCAAAATTTTAACTTGTTGAAAGCCAAAAGCTTCAAAAAGTAAATAAAAAAATGAAATAAAAAATAAAGTGAAGATGTTGAGCAATAAATCAAAACGAAAATTTTTTATTGGATCTTAAAACCTAATCTTACAGGAAATTAAGGTCTTAAAACTAGATGTCTTGAATAAAAATGTCAATAGCCTCTTGAAAGTAAGTCAAAATTATAAAAAATAATTTAAATTTTGAAAAAAAAGATTTGTTTATTCTTATGATTGATCATTAAAAAAACAAATTTGGAAAAAAAACTGAACTTTTAAGGTCAGGCTTGAAGTGAGGAAAAGTTCTAAATTTTAATTTTACAAATTTTCGGAAAAAAATTGAGGCACGAGAAATCACGAGGTGTTGAAAATTTTAACTTGTTTTGACCCAAATATTCCAAAAATAAATGATTAAAATAAAATTCTAATCAAATTTCTAAAAAAAAGCTAGAAAAATAAAGAGAACGTTGAGAAACAAACTAAAACGGAAACTTTGATTGGATCTTAAAACTTTCTAACTAAAGTTAAAGAAAATTGAAATGTGAAAACTTAATATCTCGAACAATAATATCGAAAAGTTCTTAAAATGAAATCAAAATTTTGAGAATTAATTCAATTTTTGAAAAAAGCCTATAATAATCTTATGATAAATTGATTATTAAAAAAACAAAATTTTGGAAAAAACTTTTGAAGAGACTCGAAACAATGAAAAGTTCAAAATTAATAAAAAAATCTTCAATGTGAAAATTTTAGCTTGAAAAAAAATAAATATAAAATTTTGAAGTGAAATTTCGAGAAAAAATATTAAAATCCTAGAAAAATGAAGTGAAAATATTGAGTTAAAAAAAATTTAGAAAAGAATCTTAACTTTTGAAGACAGACTCGAAGAAATGGAAAATTCAAAATTAAAAAAAAAAATATTCGGAAAAAATTAGAAACACGAAAAATAATGACGGCATTTTGAAAAAATATCAAAATTTTAACTTGTTAAAAGCAAAAAATTTCAAAAAGTAAAAAATAACTGAAATTTCGAAAAAAAAAAATTAAAGTTCTAACAAATTAGTGAAGAAGTTGAGTTTGTCTTGACAAAAATATCCAAAGGCCTTGAAAGGAAGTCAAAATTTTGAAAAATAATTCAAATTTTGAAAAACGCGTATAATTAACATTACGAAAAATTTATCATTAAAAAAACAAATTTTAGAAAAGAAAAACTTTTAAGGACAGACTCGAACTGATGAGAAGTTCAAAATTAATAAAAAAATATTCAGAAAAAATATGAAACAGGAAAAATAACGACAAGATTTTGAAAAAAGTCACAATTTTAACTTGTGAAAGTCAAAATTTTCAAAAAATAAATAAAGTAAAATTTTAAAATGAAATTTCGAGGAAAATATTATAATCCTAAAAAATAAAGCGAAGATGTTGAGCAATAAATCAAAACGAAAACTGTTGAATTCAAATTTTGAAAAAAGCCTATGATATTATGAAAAATTGATTATTATTAATAAAAAAAAAATCGTAACTTTTGAAGACAGACTCGAAGCAATGAAAAGTTAGAATTAATACAAAAATCTTCAGCAAAAAATTGAAACATGAGACTTTGAAAAAAAAAGTCAAAATGTTAGCTTGTTGAAGACAGTTATTCGAAAAAAATAAGTATAATAAAATTTTGAAGTGAAATTTGGAGAAAAAATATTGAAATCCTAGAAAAATGAAGTGAAAATATTGAGTTAAAAAAAATTTAGAAAAGAATCTTAACTTTTGAAGACAGAATCGAAGAAATGGAAAATTCAAAATTAAAAAAAAATATTCGGAAAAAATTAGAAACACGAAAAATAATGACATTTTGAAAAAATATCAAAATTTTAACTTGTTAAAAGCCAAAAATTTCAAAAAGTAAAAATTTCGAAAAAAAAATTAAAGTTCTAACAAATTAGTGAAGAAGTTGAGTTTGTCTTGACAAAAATATCCAAAGGCCCTTGAAAGGAAGTCGAAATTTTGAAAAATAATTCAAATTTTGAAAAACGCGTATAATTAACATTACGAAAAATTTATCATTAAAAAAACAAATTTTAGAAAAAAAAAACTTTTAAAGACAGACTCGAACTGATGAGAAGTTCAAACTTAATAAAAAGATGTTCAGAAAAAATATGAAACGGGAAAAATAACGACAAGATTTTGAAAAAAAGTCACAATTTTAACTTGTGAAAGTCAAAAATTTTTAAAAATAAATAAATAAAGTAAAATTTTAAAATGAAATATTATAATCCTAAAAAATAAAGCGAAGATGTTGAGCAATAAATCAAAACGAAAACTTTTTAAAAAGTTAAAGGAAATTAAGAACTTAAAACTTGATGTCTTGGACAAAAATATCGAAAGGTTCTTACAAGGAAGTCAATTTTGGGAAACAATTCAAATTTTGAAAAAGCCTATAATATTATGAAAAATTGATTATTATTAATAAAAAAAATCGTAACTTTTGAACAGACTCGAAGCAATGAAAAGTTAAAAATTAATACAAAAATCTTCAGCAAAAAACTGAAACATGAGACTTGGAAAAAAAAGTCAAAATTTTAGCTTGTTGACAGATATTCGAAAAAAATAAATATAATAAAATTTTGAAGTGAAATTTCGGGAAAAAATATAAAAATGTTGGAAAATAAAATTTTTGAATGGGTTTTAACACCTTCCAAAATTAGAAACAAATTTGAACTTTTCTAGAATTGATAAAAACATCTTCAGGATAAATTTGAAACAGGAAAAAATGAGATTTTGAAAAATAAGGTAAAATTTCCAAAAAAAATTGAAATACTAGAAAAATAAAAGAAGCTGTTGAGCAATAAGTCAAAAAATTTTGGGTGAAAGATTTTGAGGGTAGAGTTGAAGTTTTGAAGTCAGAATTTAATAATAAATTAAAATCTCTAGAATTAAACTGTTAAACAGGCGAATTAACAACTCGTGTGATACTGCTATCAAACCGTCTGTCACCTCCTGAAACCTAGACCACAACTAGTAAATGTTTTAATCCAATTTCCTCGTCCACTTGTCATCTGCCACTCCAGCACTAAATTATTTCCTCCTTCCCAACACCCGACTTTAATGCACCAACAATTCCATAAAAATCCTCCCCGACATAAAAATCTCCTCAATCCAAGAAAAATCCTTTCACGCTCCGCCAAGCCCGATTATTTGCGCCTTGCTTTCAAAAAATCACCTTTTTCAACGAGACCTTGCACTCCACATTCCCGTCCATCTTCATCCCGTAACGAATCGCCATCCACAAAATACAAGCAATTTCCGTCCTTTTGCAGAATCGAGCGTCACCTCGTACACTGTGACTTCGTCGAAGACCGTCGAAACGGCCAACGATCAGCAAACAGCGAAAGTCAACGGAAACGCCAACAACGGTGTAAACGGTGAGTTGAATTTACCTGTATTTGTTTATTTGTCGACGGTTTTTGTTGGCTGAAATCCAGTCTGTCGTTCGTGATGGACGTTTTGCTAATGATACGGAGTTTGATGGAATGGGGAAATCGGGCGCGATTGCAGCGAGTTTTACCTAGACAAAGAAATAAATGGATTGTTCGTGATGGATTTGCAGAGCTGGGCATTGTGTCGGATGGGTTGGAATTGTGAAGGTTTCAATGGATTGTTGGCAACGTTGAAAAGAATTTATTGTTTTTTTTTCTGGGTGCTCTAATTATTGGATACCGTGTGTCCGGGTTTATAAAAATACGTCACTGTTGGCGCTTTTTTGACGCTTTAACAATGTCATGCTAATTCATGTTTAAAAATAAATAATTCAAAAATTAGAGTGGAGATGATCGAGATATTGAAAATAAATCAATATTTTTAATGAGATCATGATTTTGAAAAAAAGTTTATGGATTCATGTGAGAACAACAAATTTTGGAAAAAATTAATACCTTTAGGGAAGACACGAAGTGATGAGAAGTTCAAAATTAATAAAACAAATATTCAAAAAAAGAAATTAAAAACACGAAACATAACTACAACATTTTTTATAAAACATCAAAATTTTAACTTGTTAAAATCCGAAAATTTCAACCAAAACAGTTGGATCTTAAAAAACCTTGAAGTCTAAACCCAAAGGACGTTAGACCTTAAAATTTTATGTCTTGAACAACAATATCCACAGCCTCTTGAAAGGAAATCGAAATTTTGAGAAATAAATTCAAATTTTGAAAAAAGCGTATACAATCTTGTGAAAAATTGATCATTAAAAAAATAAATTTTAGAAATAAAGTCGTAACTTTTGACGATAGATTCGGAAGTAACGAAAAGTTCAAAATCAATTAAAAAATTGTCCAGAAAAAATTAAGAACATTTTTGATTGGATCTTATAACCTTGACGTCTCTCTTGAAAAGAAGTCAAAATTTGGAGAAATGGTTCAAATTTTGAAAAGCGTATAATCTTATGAAAAATTGATCATTAAAAAAGAGAAATTTTAGAAAAAAATCTCAACTTTTGAGGACAGGCTCTACTAAGTGATGAAAAGCTCAAAATTAATAAAAGGAAATACTTTCAGAAAAAATTTGAAACACGAAAAATAATGACGATATTTTGAAAAAAGTATCAAAATTTTAACTTGTTGAAAGCCAAAAATTAATAAGCCAAAATAAATAAAAACATTATTATTTATAAAAAAATTAACAGTCTAATCTTAAAGGAAGTTAATATCTTAAAACTTGGTGACTTAGTGATGAAAAGTTTAGTAAAAAAAAATAATATTTAGGAATAATTACCAAAAAAGTCAACATTTCTAGCAAACGGAACCCAAATATTTTAAAATGAAAATTAAAATAAAGTAATATTCACATATTAGAAAAATAAAATAAAGATGTTTAGAAAGATCTAAATATCTGACACATTGCAGAAAACTTTCGAGGATCTTGAAAAAAATGGAAATTTTTAATCAGAACTTTTGGAAAATGTTTACGAATTCATAAGAGAACAGAATGATGATAATAATTAAAAGACAAATTTTGGAATAAGTTTGAAACATGAAAAATAATGACAGTGACCGAAACATTTTAAAATTAAAATGAAGAAAAATTCTGAGAACGAATATTCAAAGACAGAAAATTAAATTTAAAGATTTTTAGAAATAAGTCAAAGAAAAAACTTTGAATCTTGAATTCTTGAAGTCTAAACAACAGGAAATTAAGACATTGATACTTAACACATTGGAGAAAACTCGTCGCCTGAGAACTTGTTTGATCCACAGACATTTTTGCGGGAAATAGTAGTTATTATTTGGATGCTTCGATTTACAAACATAATATCACATCTCACATATTTCACTCGATTTTGAATGCAACAATTTTTTTGTTTAACTAAGAATTAAATCTTTAATTATAAATTGAACAACCGGATAATTGAAAAACATGGAAAAATTGAAAAATCGAAAATTTAAAAATTCTGAAAATTGAAATATAGAAGTAACTGAAAACTCGAGAAATCGAAAAACCTAAAATTTTAAAAATTGGAAAGTTAAAATATCGAAAAGTTGAAAAATTGAGAAATCGAAGTATAAAACAGTCGAAAAATTGAAAAATAAAAAAAAATTGAAGATTCGAAAAACTGAAAAAGCACTGAATTGAAGGAAATATCCAAAAATCGGGAAATTAAAAAATTGGGAAATCGGAAAGTCAAAACACCAGAGTCGAAAAACTGCAAACTTCGAAAATCGAAAAATTGAAAAACTGAAAAATCGAAACTTTGGGAAGTCGAGAATTGGGAAAATCAAAAATAGATTACTTGAGAAATCGGAAAACTGAAAATTCAGAACCGCCAAAACTTGAAAAATTAAAAAATTTAAATCTAAAATTTAAAATTTAAAAATCGAAAAACTGAAAAATCAACAAATCGAGAAATTGAAACTCGAAAATTTAAAAAATTGGAAAATTGAAAAATCGAAACATCGAAAAATTGAAAAGCCGAAAAGTAAAAATCGAAAAACTGACAGATCGAAAAATTCAAAAACTGAGACATCGAAAAATTTAGATACCGAAATAGCAAAAAATGGAAACATTAATAAACGAGAAATAGAACATCAAAACATCGAAACATCCAAACCTTGATAAATCGAGATCTCAAAAAATTGAAAAATCGAAAATTAAAAAATTCGGAAAATTGAAAAATAAAATTATAGAAGAACTGGAAACTCGAGAAATTCAAAAATCTAGAATTTTAAAAACTGACAAATTAAAATATCGAAAAGTTGAATAAATTGAGAAATCTAAATATAAAACAGTCAAAAAATTGAAAAATCTAATGTTTAAATTAACATACGAAAAACTGAAAATCCAAAAAATAAAAAATCGAAAAATTGCGAAGCCCAAAAGTAAAAAATCGAAAAACCGAGAAATTCAAAAATCGAAACATCGAAAAATTTAAAAAATGTAACATCGAGAAATCGAAAAATCAGAGTATCCAGAAATCGAGGAGTGAAAAACCGAGGAGAAAAGTTAAAAATTGAAAAATTGATAAATTAAAAGTCAAAAAATTGAAAAATCGAAAAATTTTAAAAAAGAAAAATTGGAAAAACCTTAAATCTAAAAATTCGGAAAATTGAAATATAGAAGAACTGAAAACTCGGGAAATAGAAGTATAAAACAAGTCCAAAAGTCGAAATATTGAAAAATCCCAAACCTGAAGAAATATCCAAAATATTGAGAAATTAAAAAATTCGAAAAGTGAGAAATCGAATAACTAAAAAAGCAAAGTCGAAAAATCGTAAGCTTACAAAATCGTAAGATTGAAAAATCAAAAAACCCGAAAAATCGAAAAATTGAAGAATTGAAAAAATCGAATTTTACGTAGCCAAGAAATGAAAAAATTTAAAAAAAAGATTAGTTCAGAAATCGGGAAAATGAAAATTTAAAAACGTCAAAATTTGAAAATTTAAAAAATCGTAAAATTGCAGACGACAAAAATTCAGGAATCGTATCATTGAAATATCGGAAAATTGAGAAACCGAAAAATAAAAAATCGAGAAATCGAAATTTTGAAGAATGGAAAAATTGAAAAAATCCCAAAATTGAAATATTGAAAAATTGAGATTGGATCTTGAATTCTTGATATCTAAACTAAGGGAAATTAAGATCTTGATACAAACACATTCGAGGAAACTATCGAAAAGATCTTGAAAAGAAATCGAAATTTTTAAAGTTAAAATTTTGGAAAATGTTGATAAATTCATATGAAAACAGACCATGATTAAAAAAATAAATTTTCTAAAAAATCTAATACCTTTAGATGAGAAGTTTAGTACAAAAAAATAATAAAAAGTATTTAGAAAAAGTTTGAAACGTGAGGGATAATGAAAACAAAGTTCAGAATCCAAATACTTTAAATAAGAAATTAAAACTTTGAATTAAAATTCAGACAAAGAATACTCAAATGCCAAAAAAATAAAAACGTCCAGAGAGAAGTCAAAGGGAAAGATTTAGATTGCATTTTGAGTTCTTGAAGCCCAAAGAAAAAAAATCTTGATACTTTTGATAGACTGGAGAAAACTATCGAAAAGATCTTGAAGAGAAATAAAAAAAAAATAAAAAAAAGATTAGTTCAGAAATCGGAAAACTGAAAATTTGGAAACGTCAAAATTTGAAAAATTAAAAAATCGTAAAATTGAAGGGGACAAAAATTCAGGAATCGTATCATTGAAACATCGGAAATTGAGAAATCGAAAAATAAAAAATCGAGAAATCGAAATTTTGAAGAATGGAAAAATTGAAAAAGTCCAAAATTGAAATATAGAAAAATTGAGATTGAATCTTGAATTCTTGATATCTAAACTAAGGGAAATTAAGATCTTGATACAAACACATTCGAGGAAACTATCGAAAAAATCTTGAAAAGAAATCGAAATTTTTAATGAGAAGTTAAAATTTTGGAAAATGTTGATAAATTCACATGGGGACAGACCATGATTAAAAAACAATTTTTGGAAAAAAATCTAATACTAATAGATGAGAAGTTTAGTACAAAAAAAAAAAAAATACGTATTTAGAAAAAGTTTGAAACGTGAGAAATAATGAAAACAAAGTTCAGAATCCAAATACTTTAAATAAGAAATTAAAACTTTGAATTAAAATTCAGATAAAGAATATTCAAATGCCAGAAAAATAAAAACGTCCAGAGAGAAGTCAAAGGGAAAGATTTAGATTGCATCTTGAGTTCTTGAAGTCCAAAGAAAAAAATCTTTATACTTTTGATAGACTGGAGAAAACTATCGAAAAGATCTTGAAGAGAAATCAAAAAAAAATTTAAAAAAAGATTAGTTCAGAAATCGGAAAACTGAAAATTTAGAAACGTCAAAATTTGAAAAATTAAAAAAATCGTAAAATTGAAGAGGACAAAAATTCAGGAATCATATCATTGAAACAT